AAAAAAAAAAAAAAAAAAAAAAAATAGAAATAATTATCAGTGAGATTCTATAAACAAGTTATTACATATTTGTACATTGATTTTTTTTTTTTTTTTTAGAGTCAGGGTCTCACTCTGTTGCCCAGACTGGAATGCAGTGTACAATCATAGTTCACTGCAGCCTCCAACTCATGGGCTCAAATGATCTTCCTACTTCAGGTCCTCATGAAATATTACATAGCCATTAAAAATATAAGTACTAATAACACGGGGCAATATTCATCATATTAGACAATTATATCTTCAGAGTTTTTTTGCTACCATATGACAGAATGCAACTCGAACTTAAAGAAAAAGAGATATAAGCCAGGCATGGTGGTTCAGGCCTGTAATCCCAGCACCTTGGGAGGCTGAGGTGAGAGGATCGCTTGAAGCTAGCAGTTCAAGATCAGCCTGGGCAACATAGGAGACCCCTACCTCTAAAAAAATTTTAAAGATAGCTGGGCATGGTGGCATACACCTGCAGTCCTAGCTACTTGGGTGGCTGAGACCGAAGGATTGCTTAAGCCTAGGAGTTCAAGACTGCAGTGAACAATGATGGTGTCTAGCCTAGGCACACAGAAAGACCCTACCTCAAAATTTAAAAAAAGAATATAATTTATTGGGTTACATACCTAAAAAATCCATAGGTAAATCAGACAATGCTGGATGTAAATACTCAAATGGCTTATACAGGGATTTATTATAGTTCTCTGTCTCTACATAGTGGTAGAGAATTCCTAACAGCTCCAGCTAATCATTTCTCATACTCAGTAAAAAGAACTAAAATATATAGAAAAAATTAGCCAGGCATGGTGGTGCAGCCTGTAGTCCCAGCTACTCGGGAGGCTGAGGCAGCAGGATCGCTTGAACACAGGAGTTTGAGGTTGCTGTGAGCTAGGCTGATGCCACGGCACTCACTCTAGCCTGGACAACAAAGAGAGACTCTGTCTCAAAAAAAAAAACAAAAAAAACCTAGAAATAATTATCAGTGAGATTCTATAAAACAAGTTATTACATATTGTACATTGATTTTTTTTTTTTTTTTTTTTTTTTAGAGTCAGGGTCTCACTCTGTTGCCCAGACTGGAATGCAGTGTACAATCATAGTTCACTGCAGCCTCCAACTCATGGGCTCAAATGATCTTCCTACTTCAGGTCCTCATGAAATATTACATAGCCATTAAAAAATATAAGTACTAATAACACGGGACAATATTCATCATATTAGACAATTATATCTTCAGAGGTTTTTTTGCTACCATATGACAGAATGCAACTCGAACTTAAAGAAAAAGAGATATAAGCCAGGCATGGTGGTTCAGGCCTGTAATCCCAGCACCTTGGGAGGCTGAGGTGAGAGGATCGCTTGAAGCTAGCAGTTCAAGATCAGCCTGGGCAACATAGGAGACCCCTACCTCTAAAAAAATTTTAAAGATAGCTGGGCATGGTGGCATACACCTGCAGTCCTAGCTACTTGGGTGGCTGAGACCGAAGGATTGCTTAAGCCTAGGAGTTCAAGACTGCAGTGAACAATGATGGTGTCTAGCCTAGGCCACACAGAAAGACCCTACCTCAAAATTTAAAAAAAGAGATATAATTTATTGGGTTACATAACTAAAAAATCCATAGGTAAATCAGACAATGCTGGATGTAAATACTCAAATGGCTTATACAGGGATTTATTATAGTTCTCTGTCTCTACATAGTGGTAGAGAATTCCTAACAGCTCCCAGCTAATCATTTACTCATACTCAGTAAAGAAGATCACAAATAAAGCCTTCTGTCAGGGTCTCTGTCAATCCTGATTGCCCCTTTGTGAGTCACAAGCCACTCTCGTATTAATTACTGTATCCAGTAAGTAGCATACCCTAATTGGCCCCCTGGGCTTTATCTCTATTCCTATGGTAAAGGAGGTGAGAGCTTGTGTCAGCCTTACCAAGTGGGGAAAGGGAAGTTCATAAAAGGAAAAAAATGGATTCTGTTATTAGCAAAAAAAGGATGGTATGCTAAACACTTAACAACTACTGACAATATTTTAACATTTACCAAAATGCATCATACTAAAAAGTGGTTGACACTGTTTTCCACAGCCTTAAAAAAGTAGGAAATCAACTACATGACTAATGCATAGGTTCTTTAAAACTATAAAAATGTTAATAAAGGACAATTGTAAAACCAGAGTATAAATACAGTATCAAAGCAAAGAAAAATTAAAACAATGAAAATGGAATTGAAACAAAAAAGTAGAGACATTAAAAATGATGACAAAGGATTTCAAGGATAAAACAAAGCAAATGAAAAGTTTTAAAATATAAGCAAATATAGATACTCATGGATAGTTTTTTAAGTGTCAGAAGGCAGTAGTCCAGAATCAAAAGCTCAGCATCTAATATGGAAATAATAATAATTTTTCACATTTGGAACTTTAGGAGATTTTTCTGGACATGTGTTGTTTCAGAGCAGGTGGAATTTCTTGCAAGATGTCCCCAGTAAGATTGTCTCTAAGACAAAGAGCAGACAGACAGAATGCCCAGCTCCACATCGGCAGGCTCCCCCCACCCCCCAACACTAGTGAGACTCTTCTTAAGACATTTGCAGAGATGCTCATACATCTTTGAACCGCTCCCACTGCCTGCCCTACTCTATGATCCCACTATGGAGCCATCTTCTACCTTGAAAAATGTTCTATTTTTTATTTTTGTTATTTCAGATCTTTGACTTTTCTCTTACTCAAGAAGAAATGAAGGACATTGAAGCATTAAATAAAAACGTCCGATTCGTGGAATTGCTCATGTAAGTTCTGAGGATCATTAATCGGGACTGCCCAGTGATATTGGAGTGTCAAACATCAACCAACAGGGCTCATATAAACCCTGACCTATCTCCACAAATAGCACAAGCACAAAGTATGGTGGGCAGCATGCCTGGGGGAAACACATTCACTATAGGAACTTCCTAATCCCCATATCCTATTGAAAAGAGTCCTGGCATTTATTTCACTGCTATGACTTAAATTAAGACATGGCAGCCCTAAAGCAGAACCTTGGAGGTAAAAAAAAAAAAAAGAAAAGAAAAATAAATAAAGACATGGCAGCCTAAGGACCCTGAGGAGAATTAACTTATATGGTATAATATTCTTATGCTAAAACAATAGCAGCACAAATGTTGAAACAATGTATTTATTTTTTATAAAAATCAAAAGTTATGCACAAATCAGAGCAAAGTTATCAAGAAAGGGAAAAAAACCCACAAATTTCTGGGAGAGAGGCATGATAATGTAGTAGAAAGAGCACCAGGTTGGGAACCAAGAACCTGGAGTTTTAGAAAAATATTTTCTTATCTATTATATTTAAGCTTTTAGCTCCACCTATTAGCTGTTTCCCACAGGCAAAATTCCTCACACTCCTTCAAAATATGGCCAAGTCCAGCTAATCAACTGAAGTGGCCCCTTTATTCTCTAAATATTGCAGGGTCTTTAAAATAAGAATGTTGTTACACATACATCCGCACACATACTTTTGTGTACACACATGCATTTTTTCTTAATTTTTCTCCATTAATCTTTCTAGTTCTTTAAGTCATCTGAATAGTCATTTTCTCTTTTTTCTGTCTTCTCTTTAAGTGAGAATTTAGAAAATGCTCACTAAGATGATTCATATAGTTCAGATACTTGTCTTGTTGGTCCCAATATTTTTCATGAGTCAGAAAGTACTCTGACTGGCTAATATTGAATTTCTGAATTAATAAAACAGCTTCCTAATGGGAACTTTCCTGGAAGAAAATTGTTTGACATCAGAAGGTACCACCCAGACTCAAGAACAAAAAAGTAGGCCGGGCACTGTGGCTCACACCTGTAATCCTAGCACTCTGGGAGGCCGAGGAGGGCAGATCACTCAAGGTTAGGAGTTTGAAGCCAGCCTGAGTAAGAGTGAGACCCCGTCTCTACTAAAAATAGAAAGAAATTAATTAGCAAACTAAAAATATATATAGAAAAAATTAGCCAGGCATGGTGGCGCATGCCTGTAGTCCCAGCTACTTGGGAGGCTAAGGCAGAATGATTGTTTAAGCCCAGGAGTTTGAGGTTGTTGCGAGCTAGGTTGATGCCACAGCACTCTAGCCTAGGCAACAAAGTGAGACTCTGTCTCAAAAAAAAAAAGAACAAAAAAGTAAACATAAACATGTAACTTTGCCAGAATTAACAGTTACATGTTAATTCATAGCTCTTGAAGATAAACAATTTGTACTGAATAAATACTATATCATCAAGTTAAGAAGAGACAGTGGAATGTAATCAATCCACCAATGTACTGATTTTCTTCACAGTCGGTGAAATTATTCAGTTTGACATTTGACATATTGAATACCAATCTAGCAACACTGGGGAAAAAAAATAACTCGTCCCGGAAAATAACTAAAAAAATAGACAAGGCAAAATTAAGATTAGGCCCCATTAATCATGTATCATTTAGGAGTACTGATCTGCGGTTCTTTTCTGTTTCTCATCCAATTGATCTTTGACATTCAAGAGCCTTTTAAAAAAAAATGTTTTAGACTTCATGGCACTTGAAGAAAACTAAATTTTGTATGTCTTCCATGATAAGGACACACACACACTTGAAACCTTTTATAGACTGTTTCACCATTGCTATTTAAGAGATAAATTCATCATCATCATGATGGAAACTCACTTTGATGGTCATCACCTTTCTAGATCTCAAATGTGCAACACTCAGGAAGTCTAGTGAGGGGGCAAGTGAACATGCTGATTAGGAGAGAGTGACACTGGCTGGTAATTAGAGTTCAGAAAAGAAATGCACATGTAGTTAGCTCATTGGAGTAGGAGGCAGCTTGTGTAGAGAGCAAGAGGGAGGAAGGAGTTGGGAAGAGGCAGGCAAACATAGACAGGCACGGCTCAACTCCAGTGTTTTGTTCGGAATGAAATGTTACTGTGGCAGCAACCAACATTTCCCCAGCCCTAACACACACACTCACATTCACGCCTAGGGTGCTGTCTAGAGCTTCAGGAAAAGGTGTTGTCTTAAAGGAAAACAAGAGAGGAGAATGGATAAGAAACATCAGGGGAATGAAATAGGAGAGAGGGCAAGTTGATCAGTGAAATTCTCAAAGGATGCTGGTGACACATACAGCTGGGCAATTTTGGAGTGAACTTTTTCCCTTTGGGGAATTGTTTTGGCAGGTGGTCTGATCACCCCGAATATCCATTCCATGATGAATACTGACTTCAGAGAGTTCCTGAGCAGATTTTTCCTTCTCATGTGTGGAATGGAATGGGTAGTTCCCAAGGATGTGGAAATGAAAGAAGCTTTACTATCCTCAAAGTGGTAATGGAAGCATGCTTAACTCTTGTGTAGTGTACGTGACTCTGGCTCAGCCGTGTTGAAGAAAAAAAATGTTTAAATCTGTTAAAAATAATTCTTGTGAAAGTATCAGCTAATATTTTATTAGATCAATGTCTTCTAGGCTCCAGACAAGAAAACATTAGACTTTAGAAAAGACTTCAAAAGCAACATATGAAGACAAGTGACTCATGAATATGGGTACTACCATTGGCAGTTAACAAAACAACAAAAAGGGTGGAGAGCCAGCCTGTGCCAGTGTGCTGGCAGTGGCCTTGATGTCTGAACCATTGATTGTATTACAAACACAGACAAGACAAAGTCCACTGTACACTTTTAACAAAGAAGTGATTTGCTGCATCTTGAGTAGAGAGAGAGGGTTAAGTGTAGAAAAGTCTTAAAATAAAGGCAATTAAACACCACAGTGCTCAGAAAGCTGTAATGATTTTGTTGTTTATTTCTATCCAATGAGTGTTTGGTTAGCTTTTACCCAGCTTGAAGGATACTTCCTGGTTCTCTCTTGCATCCTTAAAGGGCCTGAGTTTCCATATGACTGGCATCTATACTTGTGCTGTCTTACTACTCTTGCCCACATTGACCGTAGAACCTACATTATGTGAAGTGGCTTGAAACAACCAACATACACAAATAAAACCCTACATCATAAAGTAGTTCAAAGATGGCTATTTTAAAAGAAGGCATTTAAAAAGGAGATTTTAGGAGCCATATTGAAAGAAGAGGCTTTATAAGTTTATTATACTTATGATGTTAAGAGTATTATTGGGATAGCTGTGAATTTTGAGACAGTAGCAAGTTCAAAAGAACACTGGTAATTTTACTGTATGTAAAATTTTAAAGCATGAATAATATCATTAGAATTCAGCAATAGAGATGTACCTATTTTCACTTCAACTGGAGAAATATATTTTATTCATTCACATTAGGTCACTCTCACAGGGCAAGAGAGCTCTTTAAAAAATTGTTTTCCCAATACCATTTGCTTGTAGATAATCTTCAATAACCTAAAGACATTTCTGAGAAATTATCACTTAAAAATGTGATCTATACTCATTGTTTCCACTGATTCCAATATTAACACTTATAATTCTGCCCTCTAGAAAATATTTTGTTCATAAGAAATAATAAAGTATGATGATTTGTTATACCACATGAATATCAATTCTGTTTCTAAGGTTGAGGGGTGAGGGAAAGAATCATCTGAATCCAATGAAATTAAAAGGCCTTTGAGTTCCTATTGGAAAGACAGGAAAGAAAAATGGGTACCAAATGAAAGAAGAGAAACTTGAGTCCTGTTTCCTATTGTCAAAGCCCTTCAAAGTACTTCAAGGGGGCTGGTGTAGGGGTGGGAATAGACATAACATCTATTAAACATTTTTAAAAGGCATTGGAAAAGAGTTGCCCCATTTTTTAGCAAAAAAAGTATTTCTTAGCTGGGCGCAGTGGCTCACGCCTGTAATCCTAGCACTCTGGGAGGCCGAGGCGGCGGATTGCTCAAGGTCAGGAGTTCAAAACCAGCCTGAGCAAGAGCAAGACCCTGTCTCTACTATAAATAGAAAGAAATTAATTGGCTAACTAATATATATAGAAAAAATTAGCCGGCATGTGGCGCATGCCTGTGTCCCAGCTACTCAGGAGGCTGAGGCAGCAGGATTGCTTGAGCCCAGGAGTTTGAGGTTGCTGTGAGCTAGGCTGATGCCACGGCACTCACTCTAACCTGGGCAACAAAGTGAGACTCTGTCTCAAAAAAAAAAAAAAAAAAAGTATTTCTAAAGATTGGAGTCCTAAAGAGATGGAGGAGAAGGGGTGTAGATAAAATAAGAAGGTCGGAAAAGAACAACAGTCTGATGTGAGCTTCTGTGTGTCCCTTCTCCCTCCACTCTTACCCCTTGCAAGCTTGCCATCTGTTACGGGAAGAAGCATGTTCCCCTAAAATTCAAATGTTGAGGCCGGACAGAGTGTCTCACGCCTATAATCCTTGCACTCTGGGAAGCTGAGGTGGGAGGATGGCTTGAGGTCGGGAGTTCAAGACCCCATCTCTACTGAAAATAGAAAAATTAGCTGGGCGTGGTGGTGAGCACCTGTAGTCCCAGCTACTGGGAAGCTGAGATAAGAGGATTGCTTGAGCCCAGGAGTTTGAGGTTGCAGTGAGCTACAATGACGCCACTGCACTCTACCCAGGTTGACAGAGCCAGACTCTGTCTTAAAAAATGAAAAAAGATTCATATTTTGAGGTGCCAGCCCCCAGTTCTCCAAATGTGACCTTATTTGAAAGTAGAGTTATTGTGTATATGATTAAGTTCAGTTGAAGTCATATTGGTATCCTCATAAAAAAAAAGGAAATTTGGACATAGACAACACACAGGGAGAAACACTAAGTAAAGATAAAGGCAGAGATCACAGTGATGCTTCTATAAGCCAAGAAACACCAAAGATTGCCAACCACCACTAGAAACAAGGAAAAAAGTAAGGAACAGATTTTCCCTCAGCCCTCAGAAGGAATCAACGCTGCCATTGCCTTGACCTCAGCGTACTAGCAAACTAATAGACCATCCCTCAGTAAAGATTTCCAGTCTCTCCAGCTGACATTAGTAGTAAAGATGGCCTCACTCGGTCAATGCTTTGCTGTGTCCAGTTAGTGATAACCAACAATTTTGACCTTGGGGGGACTTTTGCAACCCCAAAGAGATGTTTGTTAAATCAGTCTTCCTAATCAATGCCCTCTGGTCAGCTATGGAGCAAGATACATCAACAGTGATGCAACCAGCCTGAAAAAAAAGAGGAGACCAACAGCATGCCATGCTTATCGGGCCATAAAGTCCACTGGACAGAAGCAGCAAGAACTTCCTGCCCCAGCAGCCCACAGAATGTTTCTTGATCTGCCTATCCCTGGCTGTTCAGGAGGGCTCCCCAACCCCAAGCCCTGTTGTCCACAGACACATTTGGAGAGGGCATCAGAGGGGCATAGGCAACAATCCCACGTCTTCAGCCTTCAACATTTTGTGGTATGCGCATTCTGTGGCCACAGTCATGAGGATTGACAAAGGTTGAACAAACTTAATATTTCCAAGACTTGGTATTTCTCAGAACTCTCAAAATTTCAGACTTCTGCTGGTAACTTTAATGTCTGTCTGGTCCTTGAACGTGAACCCTCCCTGCATCTGAACTGTAGCCTTCATGTTTCTGCCTGTAGATACCAAATCCTCAAGTTCTCACTTAACTTCTTCCACTCTAGTCTCTGCCTTCCATTCATGAGAACAGACTGACAGGGTGATGCTCAGGGGATAGGCCTACCCTCCTATCCCAAGTGGCATTTTGGAAAAAGGCTGTTTGTGGTGGGTAATATCTCCTCTGGCAAGAGCTTTGCTATGTAGGGGTTTCCCTCTTACTCTGGAGTGTTGAGGGTCTCAGCTTGTGCTCAGGCTGCCCTCCCTGCATTTACTAATACTGACTGGCTTAGAGTAGAATTCTCCTTTTGCAAGGCACATGATTGCTTGATTCAGCAGTCATCAGTTGCCCAAAGCAAATCAGACTCTCTTAATAAGGCCACGTTCTCTTCCCTCTTTGCCTTCTGCACCTCCAGCCTGAACCAAAGCTTGTTTCCTTTTTGCAGGACTTAAGGGAAGGCCACAGGAAGCATCTAACAAACTTATCCCAGTGCTAAAGCTGGAGTCTGGACAGGCACATCATCCAAGTTCCAAAATGTAAACATTTAACCTGTTATTTTAAACTATAGGCAAAGACGTCCAGACTCACACCGAGGACCGTCCTCCCCACTACACTTCATCCAAATTAACTGAGTCCATTCTAAATTTCAGGAGTGTTCACTTGCCATGCCCCACTTCCAAGTAGCTATTTTTCCATCAGTACTTATTTAGTTGCTAGTGACAGAAACCCAACTCAGACTAGTTTAAGCAGAAGGAGTGAATTCAATTTCTCACAGGACTGGAAACAAAGACGTGCAGGAGTAAAGTGGCTTTAAGCATCTAGAGCTAGGGCTCAAATAATGTGCTTACAACTTGTGCCCATTTTTTCTTCTCCTTGGGTTAGCTGTCTGCAGATAGGAGATAAGATAGCTTTCAATAACTTTGATTTCTCCTATGACCAGATTAGTAACCCAGCAGAAAGCCAGCCTTTTCTAATAGTTCAGTCACGGAAGTAACCCCAGGAAGAACTCTGATTGGCCAGTATGCATCATGCTTGAACCGTCCACTATGGCCTGGGGCAGGCTGAATGGAGGAGCCTCAGACAGAAACTCATCCCTGTAACAGAGGAGAAGGAGGAGGGAGCTGGAGTGGGGGTGGGGGAAGTATACATTTTTTTTAAATTAAAAACATGATTTTCATAAATACAAAGTGAGTATATATCAATGATTTAATTACCTCATTAATGAAGGAGCCAGCAAGATAGTAAGAGAACTGCCAAGAAAATTAGAGAAAGTGAAATATTTCCAGCAGCAGAAAGAAAATATGCTTGAATCACATTGTTCATTTAGATCCAAAACTGGTTAGTGTTCTGAAGGGCAATAAAGTATATAACTTTTGTGTTTACCTTTTCTACCAGACACAATAATTTACATCTCTACCATAAAAGGTCCATTACCACTGTTATTAGACAATGCTAATAAGTTCTGGGAATCCTTCTACCAAATTGTTGAACCTAAAGGTGGTCTTGGGGACCTATTACCACAAATAATAATAAAGCAAAGATATAAAATTGATTTCTACAATCAAGCTAATTAACGTATTCATCACCTCACATAGTTACCTATTTATTTTTTGAGACACAGTCTTGCTCTGTGGCCCAGGCTAGAATGTTGTGGCATCAGCTTTGCTCACAGCAACCTCGAACTCCTGGGCTCAAGCGATCCTCCTGCCTCAGCCTCCTGAGTAGCTGAGACTACAGGCATGCGCCACCACAACTGGCTAATTTTTTCTGTATGTATTTTTAGTTGGCCAATTAATTTCTTTCTATTTTTCAGTAGAGACGGGGTCTTGCTCCTGCTCAGGCTGGTCTCGAACTCCTAACCTTGAGGGATCCTCCCGCCTCGGCCTCCCAGAGTGCTAGGGTTATAGGCGTGAGCCACCGCATCCAGCCCATAGTTACCTTTTTTAAAAAAATTTTCTTGTGTGTGTGTGGTGAGAATACTTAAGATCTACTATCTTAGTACATTTCAAGTATACAATACAATATTATTAACTATAGTCTCCATGCTGTACATCAGATCTCCAGAACTTACACATCTTCTAACTGCAAGTTTGTACCCTATGACCAATATTTCCCCATGTCTCCATCCCTCCCATAATTGGTTACCACTCGTCTACTCTTTGTTTTTGAGTTCAACTTTTTAGATTCACATACAAGTGAGATTGTATAGTATTTGTTTTCTTGTGTCTGTCTGACTTCTTTCACTTAGCCTAATGTCCTCTAGGTTCATCCATGTTGTTGCAAATGACAGGATCTCCTTTTTTAAAAATGAATAAAATCTCATTTTATGTATATGGGTGTGTGTGTGTGTGTGTGTGTGTGTGTGTGTGTGTGTATATATATATAATAATTTCTTTATCCATTCATCCACTGACAGACATTCAGATTGTTTCTGTATTTTGGATATTGTGAATAATGCTGCAATGGACATGAGAGTACACAGATATCTAGATATTCATGATGCTTATTTCAGTTCTTTTAGATATACCCAGAAGTGGGAGTGCTGGATCATATAATAGTTATATTTTTAATTTTTTGAAAAACCTCCATATTATTTCCCATAGTGGCTACACCATTTTACATTCCCATCAATAATGTATAAGTTCCAGTTTCTCTACATCTTCACCAATACTTATTATCTTTTGAGTTTTGTCTATTTTTATAATAGCCACCATAACAAGTGTGAGGTAATGTCTCATTGTAATCTTGATTTGAATTTCCCTGATGATTAGTGATGTTGAGTGCCTTTTCATCTACCTGTTGACCATTTGCATGTCTTCCTTGGGAAAAAGTCTGTTCAGTTCCTTTGCCCATCTTTTTAATCAAGTTTTTTTTTATTATTGAATTGTAAGAGTTCCTTATATATTTTGGATATTAATCCTTTATTGAATATGTGGTTTGCAAATATTTTCTCCCATTCTGTGGACTGCCTTTTCATTT